AACAGATTGTCCTATAGATAGTGGGCCCGGGACACTTGTTTCTAGGGCAAACAGATGGCTGAGTAATAAATTTAGGAATCCTGAGTTGTGGATTATGTCCTTTGTCCCAGTTCAAGCACAAATTTGAGAGAACCAAGGAGACTGCTCCAAAATGGAGTCATTCTGGTCCCACAGATGGACGTAGCCACGTCATACTGGGAGAGAATATCTTGATTGAGCTGTAGGTCCACAGAAACAGATGTTTTGTTTTACTTATTTAAGTATAATTTATACCCCAATTGTCTCCAAAACATTTGTTGGGTTAAAAAATAGTGATAGTGTATATCTGATTGGCTCTGGAGGCACAGGAACAGAAGCTATTGTTAATTAATTGGATCAGTATTTTGACCCATTTAGTTTGGCTATGGTCACCTAAAGACTGAAAATTTCCTGGATCCTAAAGTCTTCAAATTAATAAAACAGTAAAATAGAATCCTTAAAACAAAAACAACAAAACACTTTGGGATCTGATTGGCCAATTAACAGTTCTATACTGATTTGTTCCACTCAGTAATTCAATTATTTTATTTTCTCATCTAAAAAAGCATTTTTAGAACATTTTTGGAATTCAAATGGCTAATATAGGGCTCTTTTACTGGGGAGAGGGTGTTAACAGAGACAGGTATGTATCTAAGAAAGCAGAAGTAGCCCCCATTAAGTTGTTCAATTTCTTATTGTAGTCTAAAGTCTTCAGAAGAATAAAATCAAACACAACTGTTCCCATTTTAAAAGACATGAGCTTAGTATCTTAATGCTCCTTACTCTATGTAGAAATCCATTTCTCTCTTTGCCATCACTTTAGGAAATCTTTGTTTAATAATGTTCAGTAAATTAGGCCTCCATAGGCTTGGCTTTATCCCACCCTGCCAGTTTCTTTGCCTTTTTGTACCTCTGCAAAATATATGCTTAGAGTCTCTGATTTGAAATGTTAATTAAGGTGGGCCTGGCCTCAGGTTACAGTGTACATCCCTTTTTACATGCAAAGGGGATATGCTAACTAGGTTACTTAGAATCGGGGGCCAAGAGGGAGGCTTCCAGAAAACAACAAAAGTCCAGGGAGATCCCAGCTCTTCTCAGCAACCCTCCAGGAAGCAATCGGTAAGACAGTTGGCTGAAATGCATTATCTGGCACACCGAAGTGGCTGGTGTTAAATTTGGTCCTTTTTTCCTTTTGGTAATCTCTTAATATTGAATTTGTATCCACCTCTTATAGAAGAAATGTGATTTATTTAGATATTCAAAAAAGCAAGGTATGCGAATGATCCTATTGACTGATTAGAAACAGGTAAATAATGTTGAATTTACTTGAATTCAAGATGATGGTCTCTTGATTCAGGTTTCTGAGTGAGACATTCATTTCCAAACTTAAGGGCCACCCTGAAAACCTAGAAATGATGTCAATATTACATTGAATAAAGGGTGTCTATATTTCTGTGTGCATTGTGATTTTAAGCATGTGAATATGAATGTGGGTGTGTGAAAATAGTGTGTATGGAACTGTGAAGGCACTTCAGAAGCAGCTCTACTACCGAGCAAGATTTAGAAAGGCAAAATCTACATTTGAAAGCAAGGACATTGTTAACTTTAAATCATGTAAGATGTAGCACGAAGAAATAAATTAATCTTGTTGTGGAAAAGTACCCTAAATTAGCCTCCAGAGACACAAATTGCAAAATAAATGCAAAAGTCACACCTTTAATTACTGTGATGGAACCTTTGAGATTTGGAAACTTCTTTTGTGTAAATCACTTTGGAAAGTATTTTTCAAACTCTTTTGATTATGATGTTGTAGAGGAGAAGGGGTAGTCTTCATTATTCTTATCTTGAGATGTTTAAAGCTTTCCCTTTCATTAGTACAAACACATTGCATCTGTAGAGCTACAGAGGACAATCATTCAAGCACACACACAGTGTTTAGTAAGAAACATTTTCTCTCAGAGTATAATCTTAATTCCCATCTCTTGGCATTTTAATAACACAGTCAGTCTTTCCTGCTTTATGGCGGGAGTTCATTGCTTTGAACCCTATGCCTTTCCAATGCTTGCTATATAGAACTGCTGAATTTTTTTGACAGTGTTCAATTGTGTACAATTATGCTTTTTTTGTTGCTGTCATTCTTAAAGGTTAACTAGCTCTTTCCTTAATGCAGTCATTAAGGATATACCCTATTTAAGTGAGTCAAGCAGAATCTGGGGCACAAGTATGAAATAAAAGAGTGTAAACAATCAGCATATAGGAGAACGTGTGCTTTTCCGCCTCACCTCTTTATTAAGAATAACCAGCACAGCACAAAATAAACATATACAGGGTTCGTATGTGTGGGGTGGGTGAGACAGAAGTGGAAGCTCCCAAAGAGAACTAGAGCTAAGATGTTTAAAACATTGGCAGTTGACATATCACACTAATCCATGCAAAATGGTATTCTAAAGGATCCATTTAGTTTAAATTTGAAATTTCAGTCTATAAGGAGAAAAATCGTTTCCCACTTTGGAAATAATTAAATGTTTCTTTTTAAAAGAAAGGCAGATTAGAACAATTTTGAGATGTGAAAGTGATGTTTTTTTGACACCTGAGGAAATGCAATCTAATTTCGGACTGAGGTTTGGAGTTCTTTCCTTTCAAAGCCCTTTAAAAATATTTCTTTCTTACTGTAGTATTTAATGAATAGCATATTTTATGTAGCTACAATGATTCTCTGATTCACTTTCTGGCTACTGCTGATAATGCAGTGCAATATGTTTTAGACAGAGTTAGAAAAAACCTAAAATTCAGCAGAGTCTATTTAGCTTGTGACTATATAGATCTTTCCTGTACAATTCCCCCAAACCACAGTACAGCAAACATAGGCAAAAAATCAAGAAATTGTCCTTCATTTAATTCACTTAAAAATATATCATCCTTACTTTGTAAAATAGAAGCAAAATTAATAATTCCTAGTAAAATAAAAACAGTTATGACCATTGTCATTAACATGTACATCAGCACCACTATCACTTTCATTCTAGAAGTTATAGAAAAATCTCATTCCAAAGTAGGTCACATTACCAGAATGAATAAGCTTACTTTTCCTCTGCATGGTTTACACTAACTCGTTAGGTTATTACTTTCTCAGTCGCTGATAATAATGATACAGCCAGACTATTCCACTTCACAAAAAATATTTAAATAAAGTTTCTTCAAGCACAAATGAGATGCAGTATATTTACATTTTTATTTGATGAAGCCTGTGCCTGCTATCTTTGTTCTTAATTTGGTCTCAAAAGAATTAGCACTAAGAGGAAAAACAGTCTGTAAATATGTATGAAATCAAATATAGAGGGTAAGCTAAAAGGTATTGACTGCCAACAGAGTTTAGCTGCAGGAGGTAAAATTTTCTCCATAGTTTTCTTCTTGGCTGGAAACACATTGCCTTCTATCTAGATTATTTAATCCTCAAAATGCACATCAAAGCTTCTCATCGGGTGGCACATGTCTTTATAGGCAGTTGAATGTCAAAGATCTAGCTTAAAGATTTTTGAAAAATGTAAAAACATAATAGAGCCCAGATAATAACACAGCAGTCAGCTCCTGTCCTGCTCCTTCCAGCAAAATACTAGCGTCACAGGCTGTAGCAAATCTCTGGCAAGGGGAAGAGCACATTCTGCTGCCTGGCAGTGTGTGACATCTGTCCAACCGCTAGAAAGGAGATGCTTATGCTGGGTTCCAGACCAATATTAGCTTGCTAGCTATCTCAATCTTGCTGTACACCTGTGGCTGAGGAGAACTCTGAGCCATAAATTCTGTCCTGCTCCCATGCCCAATTAAGGCAGTGGAACAACTTATGCAAAAATATGTAAGAACCATTTTCTGTCTTTCTATGTGAAACAAGCTCCAAGCTCCAGGGAGCTCTCCCCTTTTAGGACTCATTTTTCAGTCTTGGGCAAGGACAAATTACTTGTAATGATTACATCAACTCCTTTAAATGATTATATCATTGTGAGTTTAGTTTAACACCCTTTAACACATTTATTTTGCACTGCAAATGTTGGCTATTGTGTTAGACAGATAGTGCAGCATAGGGAAAGAGGGGAAGGCCCCTATATTAGTTGGGGTGTGCCGTACACAAGGGACTTGAGGACTAGGCAGTAATAGAGACTGCCAGAAGCAATTTCACCTGGGCTTTGGAGTTGTATTCATATACGCGAAGATGTTTCGGTAAGAGCTCAGCCTTTATCTTTTTATTGAAACGTGTTGTAAGAGGTTCACCTTTCTCATTCATGCCATTATCATCATCCAATCTCTCTCCACCTCTTAAAGGAAAATGTCCAGATGTTTGTTCAGATTGGAAAAATTTCTCTGGTTTGTGCTTTGCCCACAGAATAGTCCCTCTGGATTTTTCAAATAGAAAAAGAGGAATGTAATAATTATGCACTGCAAACATGTACCAATAAAAATAAAATATTAAAAAAAAATCCAGCAGAGTAACAACAAAAAAGAAATGAAAAGAAAATTAGAATTTCTGAGGAATGCCAGCTATTAAGCACCTCCTCCCTTAATTATGCAGCCCCAAGGCCCTTACCATAATCTGCCCAGCAACAAGGCTCTTCAGAGGCCCCTCTGGGGGCAGATCATTATAGAGTATTAATTCAGGACTCCTAGTGATCTGGGACACCATCTTATTACACAATGGTTGTTTTAAATGCATTATTTAAATGTGTAAAGTATTTGGGGATGCATCTGAGTGCAGACACATCACATAAAACAAAGCTTTATCCTATTAAGAGGATCATATGGGAGGAGGGGGCCATGATGTTCCAGGTGCAGTTTTAAGCACATTCCAGATTTTAGCCAACCACTGCTTTCCTTCTCCCTTGTTCTGCTCTCTTGGCTGTTTAATTGCATTCTAACCCTTACCTGGAAAGGAAAACAGGTGGGATATTTTTGAGGACCTTTGATGCTTGGAATGGTGTGGTTTATAGCAAAAGTGTTTCCACAATGTTCTCCTCTTTCTCCTAAACACTATTAAATGAACAGCAGAGGGAAAAGAATGGCCAGGATGCCCTGTGGGTGACAGACACCAGCATCCTCAGGCTGGTGGCTATTTGCATCTCTGCCCAGCTTGAAAATGTTGTCTGTTGTGCCAACACAGCTTCCTTACTTGTTAAAAATGCTTCTCTCTGTTGGAGGGCTCGGAAAGATATTCTTTGTGCAAAATCCCCTTACAGAACCTCCGATCCCTTTGGGGCCTCTTCTGGCAATTTATGGTCACAGTGAACTGTCTTGGGCCCCTCCTTGCCCTGTGAGACTGGGACCCATAGAAATGGCTGTGACTGTTACTTTTCTCTTTGGGGATTTGCCCTTTTTTCATTTGGTTGGGGACTGAGACTCAGCTTTGTTACAGAGAATTATCCGGTGGCATTGGGTTGGGGAGATAAGTCTTTGTGGAGACATAAAACACATACAGACCAAAGTGTGAAAAATTGAAATGACAAGGTTTCTGGGGTGCTGTTTTCTTAAGTTTGAGCAAATGCTCAAAACATAGGAAGTAGGGTTCTCTCTAGCTCATTATTGTGCATTAAAGTGAATCTATCTCCCATGTTTAGCAGAGTGCAAACTATGATAGTGTCACAGGTACATATGCTAATTATTAATACAGTATCCAGCCCTAAAGTGTATAAATTACCATTGTCTGCTTTGATTTTGATGTGATCGAGAAGATGGATGTTAGTTTAAAAGGTAGGCAGAGGATTCAAATGAAAGCTAGTTTCTCTCTATTATTTTAATAATTACACGATTCCATTCTCTAAGGTAAATACCCATCAGCATGAATGGGACATTATGGAAAGAATGGAGATGATATTTGTATCTTAATAAGTATCTGATCTGGTTTTTTGTTTCTCTCTGCCAGAGACAATGTTTTCATTTAATTCAAAAAAGATGTCTATGTCTTTAAGCCTTAGGTTTAAATTTTCTGAATTACATATGAAATACGTTCAGTTGCAGTGCAAGAATGTGTAAAATACTAAAAAATAACAACACAAAACAAACTATAAAAAAGCATTCAACATCTCTACCTGAGAAAGAGAGAAGTGTTTACTATCTATTTTAGCTACTAGAAT